TACCAAAGCCTGGTATCCAGATAGGATGTTCTCAGTTCCTCAAGTCCCTGAGGCACTGTGGCCTCCAGGTTTCTGAGCTTTCATCTTTTTTTTTTTTTTTTTTTTTGAGATGGAGCCTCAAGCTGTCCCCCTGGGTAGAGTGCCATGGCATCATGCTCACAGCAACCTCCAACTCCTGGGCTCAAGCGAGTCTCCTGCCTCAGCCTCCCAAGTAGCTGGGACCACAGGCGCCCGCCACAACGCCTGGCCATTTTTTTTGTTTTTTTTTTGGTTGCAGCCATCGTTGTTTGGCGGGCCCGGGCTGGGGATTTGAACCTGCCACCTTAGGTGTACATGGCTGGCGCCTTAGCCGCTTGAGCCACAGGCGCCAAGCCGCTTTCATCTCTTAATAGTAACAGTTAGTTTTGTATTGATCCCATTTCACCTTCCCAACAATTCCACTAAGTGAGTATTATCATCATTATCTCCATTTTTTTAGATGAGGAAATAAAGCTCAAAAAAATTGGGTTGCCCAAGGCCACATAGCCAATAAATTCCAGGTCCCAAGTTCAAGTCTTTTTTTTTTTTTTCTTAGAGATAGGGTCTCACCAAGTTGCCCAGGTTGGCCTCAAACTCCTGGGCTGATCCTCCCACCTCAGCTTCCCAAGAACTGGGACTACTGGTGCATACCATTATACCTTACTCTACACTGAAGTCTTAAGATTCAAGATCTGGTACCATGAAACCTACTTTTCTTTCTAGATTTAGAATTAAGCCCCAGGAGTTATTTCTTCTGAGCTATTCTAGGCTCATCTATCAGCCTTCATCCATTTTGGTATCAGGGCTGGACTCTGCTAGCGGGGCATAACTCTTAGATGTCAGGGTCTGAGAACCTTAGTTCTACCTAGTTTCCTTGAAAGCCCCAAACTCTTTTGGCCTGAGAGTGGGGCTCAGTATCTCTTTTAAGTCTGGGTCAATCCTCTAAAAATTCTCATTTAAGGAAAGTAAACTCCTCAGAGCCTTTTTTTTTTAATCCTAACCCAAACTGGGACATAAGGAAAAATGAGTGGATGGCTCAGGAGATCTGGTCTACTAGCTGGACCCCAGTTTATACCATCCCATCACTAGAGGCCTCATTATTCCCTGGTCCCAGACACCCCCCTCCACCATGTTCCTCCACCATCGGGGTAACCGCCTGGCTCTGCTGCCTAGGATAACGCCCAGCCCTCCCCTTGCCCCCTGTGGCTGCCTCCCCTTCCGTCTGTTGAGAGAGGAAGCCAGGGGGTGTCGGGTGCAACCCTGCAGGGCACTGATAAAGGGCCAGCCCTCCCCCACCCTCTGAGGCCACTGCGGTCAGACCAGCAGTCAAGCAGGCCAGGCAGCCAGCTCCCTTGGGACCCATGGCCCTCCCCTGGTTCCACCTCTACCCACTCCGCCCTTCTCGGGAAGCTGGTTGCATAACCCCGTGGGGTGTTTGGCAACATTGCTTGTGGCTTGACCTGCTGGTGGTGGTAGTGGTGTACATACACGTTATGGAGGGTTGGGGGGGTTGATCAGGTATGACAGCAAGTCAACTTTTTGGGGGTGAGTGAGAAGCATGGGGTGGAGAATGATGAAATAGTAAAGATGTGTGGCCATGTTTTTCTCTGTGTTCTGTCTCTGTTACCTTTGTTGCAGTGGGAGAATCTTGGAGATAGAAAAATCTTAGGCATCCTGCCCTGCCAAGCCACAGGCACTGTCCAATCCCTTTAGGCTGGCACTTCTATGCCCTGAAATTGATAAATCAAGCAAAGGAGACTTAGGTAGAAAGATGTTGACCCTGGACTTCAGGAATAGGAGAGGAGAGGAAGGGACTAACTATCTCTTTCAGCCTTCCCCTGAAGGGCTTTAAAGGAGGCTCTGGAGGCAGGACAGGACCTGGGAACCAAGTAAAGTTCTCTTCCTATGGGAGAGGAGTGAGGGTGAAGTGGGAGAGACATCTCTGCCCTAGCCAGTCACTTAAATGTAGGCTGTCTCCTTACTTGGCTCACACTATGTGACCATGTCTGTCCTCCCAAAAAGTAACAAATGACCTCAAACACTTCTTAGACTCCCTCTTCCTTACAGAATAAAATACATTGTCACTTGCTTCACTTTTAAGACACTTTACTTTATCTAGCCCCAGTCAAATTTTCTAGGTTTATCTTCTACTGCTTTCCACCTCAGACACAACCTTAGCGAACCGAAAATATTACTCTGTACCTTATGCCTCTGTGCCTTCCATGTCTTTGCTAGGAATACACTTTTTCCTTCTCTGCTTGGGGAATTCCCAGTCATTCTCGACAGCCTAGCTTAATTATCACCTCCTCTATAAGGCCTTCCTTGACTTTTACTAGTCAGAACTTATTCCCTCTCCTGCTCCATAGCACTTTATTTATTTATTTATTTATTGGCCGGGGTTGGGTTTGAACCCACCACCTCCAGCATATGGGGCCAGCTCCCTACCCTTTTGAGCCACAGGCGCTGCCCCCATAGCACTTTATATAGACTTTTATTAATGTGATTTTTCTTTTTTTTTTTTTTTTTTTTTGAGACAGAGCCTCAAGCTGTCCCCCTGGGCAGAGTGCCATGGCATTACAGCTCACAGCAACCTCCAACTCCTGGGCTCAAGCGAGTCTCCTGCCTCCGCCTCCCAAGTAGCTGGGACCACAGGCGCCCGCCACAACGCCCGGCTATTTTTTGGTTGCAGCCATCATTGTTGTTTGGCGGGTCCGGGCTGGGGATTCGAACCCGCCACCTTAGGTGTACGTGGCTGGCGCCTTAGCCGGTTGAGCTATAGGCGCCGAGCCTATTAATGTGATTTTTCAACTGGAATGTGATTGAGGACACAGACTATGTCTTACTCACCTTTGGAGTAAAACATAGAAAACACTCAATAAATATTTGCCATAGCTACATCTGTAATACCACAGTGCCTTGAACTGGTAATTCTTATTCAATAAATGTTTGTTGATTATCTGTAACCTGATATCATTATATAATCAGCTACAAGTATGACTGGCATCACCACTCATCCCTTTGGAGGGGCCCAAATAAGTATGCAAGTGAGTGAGCTATACCTAAAATCCCACGTATGTGACCCAGATTCACGCCGAGGTCAACAAGACATTCTGAACTCACATGTAACATGCAGTGAGGTCATCGGATTGCCTCCTGGCCTACATAGATCATGCATGCACAATCATGACCTACTGGGATGGGGGTGGAATTCAAAGCATGTAACCAGGGGTTGGCATTGGCATTGATCCATTCCAGCACATGCAGGTGACAGAGGCGCCTCCTGTGCTATGAGGACTGCCTTTTCACTTGCATGGTTGTGTTGCTGGGCTGGGGGGATCTGAGGGGAGACATGGGGTGGCCTAGGGAGCAGTGCAGTAGTGGGGGATACTTGAAGCTACTCTTTATCAACTAGAACAGAACATTTTCCATTATTTTAGCAGTGAACACAATCCTATTAGATCATGCTGGCTGAATGCCAGCCTTCCTCTGTGGTGACACCTGTCTGTTTCCCCAGTCATCAAATGTTTCTAATTTAAGTCAAACACTTTATGAAGAAAAAATAGTGAAAAAAAATGTAAGCTGCTTTGTAAGGTTAATAAGCCAAACTTATGAAGAGCTTTCCTTAGAACTGAAAGCCACTAAAAGCTAGAAGGAAGACTCTTTTTTTCTTCTTTCCCTCTCTTTTTTTATTTTTATTATTTATTTATTTTTTTTTTTGAGACAGAGCCTCAAGCTGTCACCCTGGGTAGAGTGCTGTGGCGTCACAGTTCACAGCAACCTCCAACGCCAGGCTCAAGAGAGTCTCCTGCCTCTGCCTCCCAAGTAGCTGGGACTACAGGCCCCCACCACAACGCCCAGCTTTTTTTTTTTTTTTTTGGTTGCAGACATCATTGTTGTTTGGCGGGCCTGGGCTGGATTCAAACCCACCAGCTTAGGTGTATGTGGCTGGCACCTTAGCCGCTTGAGCCACAGGCGCCGAGCCTATTTTTATTTTTTGAGATTAGGTCTTGCTTTGTCACCCAGGCTGGCGTGCAGGGACTCAAGCAGTCTTCCTGCCTCAGGCCTTCCTAGTAGCTAGGTATACACCATCATGGCTGCCTAATTTTTTTACATTTTTTTAGCGATAGAGGTCTCACTATGTTGCCCAGGCTAGTCTCAAACTCTTGGCCTCAAGCTGTCCTCCTGTCTTTAGTCTCCCAGCTGCTGCAATTACAGGTGTAAGCCACCACACTCACTGAGGCAAAAGGATGAATGAGGGACTTCTGAGGGTACCTGATATCCTACACACATGTTCTGGCCTGTCCTAGGTATATGTGGCAATGGTATATGGACAGAGGGCACCCAGTGTCCTCTTTAAGAGAGCTGAATAATATCCCTGTTGGGCAGCCCCCAACCTATCTCCCCTCACACACTGACAAAAAAGCTGGCCAAGAAAGAGGCCTTTGTCCTAGGACATCTGAGGCCCAAGGCGGGTGGGGAGACATCTACAGGTGAAAGGACACATCAAAGCAGCCAGCTGCCCCTCCTCCTCAAAATAGCTTCCCCACCCTGTTCCCAGGGCATAGTTTTTGCTGAAATGAAGAAGCCTGAGCCCTAACTTCCCACCTGCCTAAACAGCTGGAAGGCTAGAGCTGTCCTCCACTTTTCTATGACTCAGTTTCCCCTGGCCCTAAGACAGCCAGCGGGAGAGAAGAAGGAGGTTATAACCTGCATAACGTTTAGAGGTCATTTTTGAGTGGACCATCAGGTTGGAATTCATCAGAGGCATGGGAGAAAGACAGACCTGGCTGGACTCCTGGGCTGCAAAGGAGGGCTGGGAGAGAGGCTTGGAGCCATGTGTGCCCCCGCTGGCCGGCCGGGAGCAAGGTGGGGGCGGGGTGTGGGCAGAAACCACACAGGGCTCAAGTTTCCTCTCTTGGCCAGAAGGGGCAGGAGGAGAGGAGAGCCTGGGGAAAAGGGGAGGGTTAGTTGGAGGAAGGACAGAGAACTCAGGCCGAAGGCTCAGAGAGATTAGTGCGCCTGCCTGCTTTGGGGCTCCCTGCCCCAGCCTCCTCACTCAGCACTCAGCAATGGCCCGGGGGCGGGACACACCCCTCGTGGAGTCTCTGAGGTAGCAGGGATCCTCGCCTGAGAGGTGTCAGCTCAGGCCCAGCCTCCCGAGAGACAACACCCGGAGCCTCATCTCTTCACCTTGCTGGGACGCTGCCACAGGTGCCTGTAAGGCTGGGTGGGCAGGTGGATTCCAATGGGATCGTAAGGGTAGGCTGGGAAGGCAGAAGGGAGAAGGAGAAATAACCAATTTTCAGGACCTTCTTAGGCGATCTCAGACCTTTCCAGACTGCCCCTGGTTTAGGAATCTGACATCCTTGGGAACTCCTCTGGATGAAGAGCTAGGTGGCTTCTTGAGCGCTCTGGCATCTTTGGAGTGGGAGACTGTATGTAGATGGGGACTAGAACAGTAGTGTCCTGAGGCGCACAAGGGGCTGAGGAGTGGCCAGGAGGAACCCTTCATCTGGGAGTCTGCCCTAGGAGAGCCAGTAGACACCCAGGTATATGGATCACCATTTCTCCTACCCATTCTACTCCACCCCCTTGTCCAGCGAGCTGGGAAGGTTTGGGGGGAAGCTAAGGAATTAAAAGCACTGGATATCTGGACCTCTGAGATTGTTGAAGAAGAAATTATTGCAGCAAGATAGGTGGTGGACACTGCGGATTGCCCCCTATTGTCCCTTCTCTTTGCTGGGCCCAGGGGCAGTAGGGATCAACTGGAACTGGAAGGGAGAGGAAGGCATCCCAACCCCATCACAGTTCCTTCTGACTGAGCACTTGGCTGCTTGGGAAGTAGGGCACTGGGAAGCAGGGGAAGAGAAGTGTGGAGGTATCAGATCTGTTGGGGGTGAGATTCTCTAGCCATTGGTCCTAAAGAACTGAAGTTTGAGGTCTGGAAAGGGAGTGACAGGGTAGCTGAAACTTGTCCCTCTCTGCCTTGTTCTCACACACATAGTTGAGTTAGGCATGCCCCCAGGGGACTGAGCTCCTCTGATCCACTTTCTCCTTCCCCATTTCCTTCATTCTGTTTGTTTCTCTATCTCATCTCTCCCTCTTTGAGAGTTCTCCCTAATATTTCTAAATAGGTTGCCTATTACCAATCCACACCCATGTTTTGCTGCCTGTACTGACACTTAGAGAGGTGGAATGGTCAAATAAACCTCTGAAGGGGGACCCTGAGGCAAACCTCGCTCATCATTCCCTCTTGTCAAGGGAGTTGAGAGACCCAGAACAGCAGTGGAGCCTAAATGCCTTCCTCTCCCCCAAATCCCTCTCCAAATGTTTCTCACCTTATATACCTAATCATAAAGCTCCATATCATTTTCTGAGTACTGGGGGATTGTGATAAAATCTTTCTGGACAGGTAGGACCATCAGGATAAGAGTAAGGAAGATGGATTTTAGTCCTTGGAGAGGGCTTCAATTCTACATGAGCTACAGTGTTGGGGAATAAGAAAAGAAACATTCAACCCAGTGGGAATAAGGCATTGTGTGACCTCACTATGCAAGCTAAACTGTAAAGTAGGAGCTTCTCATTATATTATTGTAAAAGAAAAGGGACATAGGGAATCCCACTTCCCCAGTAACTCCCCAGTTTCTGTACCCTCTGTTGTGTTCTATTGCATCTAATTGTAATCACACCCCTCCTCCCTGATCTATTCCACTGCCTGCCCCTGTCCTCTGAAATACCTCCTAAGACCCAGAGGAACCTATGCCTGGTATGTAGACCACTACCTATCTTTGAGTGTTCCTAGAGAAAAATACCCTGGTCCTGCTGTAGTCTGCCCCAAACTTGCTACTGCACCAGAGTGCTGGTTGGAGCTGATCCTAGGATTCTCCTCAAATCCTTGTCCCCCAACCTTCTGCTTATCCCTGCTTTCCTTCTATGTTCTCATTTTCCTGTCCCAGAAAGAGGGAGAGTCAGAGACAGGGACCATCTGGAGCTCAATCTTTCCTGGGTCAAGGATTGGAGTTAGAAGCAGCCTAGAGATCAATTGCTGGTCTCATTCCTGGCTTTGTGTTCTTCCCCCTAAATCCATACAGTTCTAGTGCAGCATTTCTCAAGGTAAGGTTGGTCTGCTGTACCGGAATCCCTGAGGCACCTGCATTTCATAGGTCCGGGCACCTAGATCTCTGGGTGTTTGTACCAATGAGTTCAGTTCAGTAGTTCTGGAGTAGGTTTCAAGAATCTGTGTTTTTACATGTAATGCAGGTGAATGTGGTGACTCCCTGAGCTAGATGCAGTCTACTATCTCTCACAGTGAGGAGGTTCTCCAGTCCTGTCTCCACTGAATGGAACAGACTGAAGTAAAGCAATTTGCTCAAGGTCATACATCTTAAAGGCCAGAGAACCCCATCTTCTACCTCCTAGGATCTTTGCACTGCACCTTAAAGTTAAATCAGGAAAGATAAAGGAGAGACAAATGGGGGATGGGTGGATGAAGAACTATGAGGCAAGAGTTTTGTCCCTGCCCCTAAACCCCTTCTCCATTCACTTTGCCTTTGGGCAATTTCCGTCAGAACCTGGGTAGAGGAGGGTGGGGTTCCGGTGTTGAAATGGCATCCTGGACAGACATAAACACCCCACCCACTCTGTCCACTGGCCAAGGGCCTGAGCCTATACCAACTCTCAGCTCTGGGGAAGGCAAAGCAATTCTCAGCTCTGGGGATGGAGACAGGGACTAGGAGAAATGCTCTTTCAAAAGGATAATTTGTAGAATTCACTAATTTTGTGATAAATCAATGGGTGGATTTCATATTAAATAGGCCATCTTTGTGGTGAGTTGTCTGAGGTCATGCAATTTGAAGTCATCTAAATGACTTCCATCCTCTGTCCTTTTATACTCTTCCTTCACCTCTAGCCTGCTTTCCTTTTCTTTTTTTTTTTTTTTTTTTGAGACGGAGCCTCAAGCTATCCCCCTGGGTAGAGTGCCATG